AAAGTGTCCTTAGCACAGCCTGAATTCTAAGCTTCGTAACCTCGGCCGTCACTGAGCGTTCGACACTATTTCGAGCGGCCCTGAGAGCACTGAGGGCCTGAAAGACGCTTGCTCTGTGCTTGTCAGCACTGGCTTTTCAGAAAATTCCCTGGCTAACGACTTTTACTTGCAAAGTTTGTGTGCACCTGCGTATTGTCTTCACCTCTAGTGTCGTCATTTTATCCTGATGCACGTCTGCGTTGCTTTGTAAACTTTCGTTCTATGCCTTGCATATTACGTTAATTCTGAAAAACTAGTCTGCATGGATGGATTATAACTTGATTACAATACTTCAGAATGTGAAAAACAGCTATAAACAACTCTTGGAAAACCTCTGCCAAATGAACATTGATAGATTGACAGGTGCCACTTTGATGTGTCAATTTGGACCAAGGGGATGAAAGCTATTGGTGCACTGAGTTCTCTGGCTTTATCCGTCGGTAAGCAAACAACTCAAATCAAAAAAGGCGTTGGACGGGACATTTAAAGCTGTATTATAACACGTTTTCTGAGCTTCGCTGCTATTCCGTAATGTTGATTGCTGTGCTATAACCGGTGTCAGCAGTGGCCCAGGTCATGCTACTCCAGCAGCTCATGCAGACAGCAATATTGCAGTATACGATTTGTACCCAAACTTGTGCTTGACAGAACAAACAACACACGTAGGAAAACGTTGCGACACTTAATTGAGAAAACAGCGCACTGGTGCATGGTCAAAAGATTCATAACATCTCTGCACGTCGGATAATCCAACCTAGAAATATTTAAAGCACACCATTCGCCATTCATGGTGAAGACCATCCACAGGATCTACATGATCTTCTGATTACCTCAGGTGACACCTTTGATAAGTTAATGTATAAACAAATGTGAGTTTTCTTCGACCTGTGTGTAGCGAAATAACTGTGCGTTTGGCGCAACCTGACAGGAAATTTACACGGCATATCTAAATATGGCATAGGTAACCTGTTCTGCACGATATGAGATCGATGGAGATATACACTCATAACCCAAGGGAGATACCTGTGATAAAAATACGGGACCATGCAATGCCTTATATCTCAGAACATTCTCATATACCCACCACATCCCTTTGCCATTCACCGTGCAAACAAAAAGGGACATGTAATATGATAAAAGAATAAAAGCGAAATAGTACAAAATTGCTGAAACTAAAAGCTCCTCATTTGGGCCGACTATTACGCAACCATTTCGTGAATTTAAGACATGTTTAAATGGTGCCACGCAGTGAAAGCATTGTCAGGTTAAGGCGACGTTTTAACCCGTCAATCAGTGCTTAAGTACAAATATTTGATGATGGCTGGCTTTCACACTAGGCGGCTGTAAGGATTACACATTGGCAGATAATCATGATTGCTAGTGTGTCCTGCCTGTATCAATTTCATCGAAACATAACATGGCAATGAACGAAAGTCATTCGTTTGACATGAACTTAGTTACCCTATCAGCGAGCAACCTACTCGCTTCCCTATTAATATTCTGTGTGTCATATTTTCCAGAACAACGCGATTGAAACAATTTAGTTGCAAGACGTAGCCGGTTTGGGTAATTACGAAGATTTTAGACTGGCCAAGTGTCAATAAAAGCGCAGGAACCTAGGGCTCAGGGAACCACGTGCCCTTCACACATGCGTAAAGGGTTGATAACGTCATTTCCACGTCGATGCATGGAAAGGCTGAATGCATTGTCCATTATGAATTGTCAGCTGTCTGTTTCGATAGCTCAAACGGCTGGGGCGTCTACCTCCCGATTCACCCACCCGTGGAGGAGTGCCGCGCTAAAGGTCAGGTGGCGTCAGAGAGCAGGTCGGACCGTAGCGGTCACTGCGATGCGGCAGCATACTGCAGTTGACCAGGACTTTGATGATCGGATGTTAGAGTCGGAATTCACGCAACAAACGCTCTTAGGGGTGGGTGCTGATCCCAAAACTTCATGTAATGAATACATTGGATTAGGTCTTAAGAACCATAATAAAGCAAACATGCACAGCACTTCAATCTGAAATGTTCCAGCATTCTCGCCAGGCAAACTCGAAGTACGTTAGAGCGCGGGATTCAGTTCATAGCTGTCAAGCCTTGAGTTTTAGCCATCACCTTGGTCGGTTCAGATGAAAGCCCAAATTACTAACTAGGAGACTGTCACGCCCCGGTTCACCTTCCGCGCACGGCACATCTGGTTTGTAGCTCGGTGCATAATTGTTCAAGACCTTTTAGCTACTACCATGGAGTGCTGCGTATTCCATTTGAAAGTAAGACCGGGTCTATTTGGTCAAAGCCCAAAGTATCGCCTTTTATGTTCGGTACGTGACATGCTACTTGCAGGATCATTCGAATGTTACCACGTGTGTCATTGTCTTGTACATTCGGCTTTTTACCCAAACCTTCCACATGCCACCATTTGTGCCTTGCATTTGGAGAGCTACCCAACCAATGATGTTTAGGCAGGGCTCGCACAGTTGGATGAGGTTCAAGACGGTCAGCTATCCCCTTCTGTGTTTTTTGTCCGACTGGTTACAAATGATCTTTACGTGTCACCGTCCCCCACGCCTGGCTCGCCCGCCCCACGGGGCCAATTCGCTGTCGGGCTCTGCACCCACACGAGAAACAGTCCCCGAGAGAACTCACTCGCCGATGGCCGCTGGGTAACCAGGCAGATGTATGACCCATAAATCAAAATAATCACCGCCATCACCTCTGCAGGAGCGTCACGCCGGAGAGAGGGCGAGGACGGGTCGGTTTCATCGCAGCAGGCGACCGGGCGTCCATCTGTCACCTGACCACCCCCGTCACAATGACTTCGGGGCCTCGGCGGCAGCTGGCGGTGACGAGAACATCCGCCCGTCGCATCCCGGCTGGAGCAGCTTCGCATCCGGCGTGACCCCCGACCTGACCCCGCCGGACGCAGACGGCTGGCATTGCGCAGGCGAGATTTCGCTCGTAGTCGACGACACCGTATAACGGTCGTGACGACACTCTCCACCCGTGAGCGCTGCCTGAAGCCGGCGCTGGTCTCTGCGCCCTTCATGCGAGGGTTGTCCGCGCAGCGTGCTCAGTATGGTCATCACTGTCAGAGTCATATGCAAGTCATGCGGTGAGCATTCGATGTCATCTGAGTCATCGCAGACGAGAGGTTCCGGCTCTGATCTATGCGCATACTCTGAGTTAAATCGTCATGCCAATTCGCTTTGAATGTGTCCTTCGGCCTTCACGTCGTTACACCCCGGTCATCTGACCAGCTTTTAGCCAGCACTTCACATGCAGTCGCGTGGTGGTGGCCACGTGAAGGTCACGACCACACGCTGGCTGCGTCAAGCAGCGTGGTCTCATTCGTTCGTCGCACGGGTGCGGCCGCCATTATCGATGAGGTACGTCGCTGCAGGCTCGGTGCGTGACAGCCAGTGGCGTCGACATGGTGAAGGTGCACGTGCCCCCCCCCCCCCCTCCCCTCCCCACCTCGTCCCGAGGGACACAACGGCCTCGAGGGGCCCTTGGGACAAACCAAAGGGTTTAAGGCGCAAACGATCAATGCCCGATTTGAAGGCCAGAGGGCCTGGGGGCTGGTCGGAGGTCGCATTAAGGGGCCCCGCCCCACAGGGCTGGGCTCTGAAAGACCTGTCAGAGGTCCTTTTGCGCCGATCAGGGCTCCTAAGTCGATGAAAGCCTCTATGAATCAGGCACCGCCAATACTGAGCAGTCGGCTCCGTATTAGCCTGGACCTGAAGGCCCATTTCTCAACTACAGTCGGGGTCAGGGCCCGCGATTCGCATGGGTTGTAAGCCCTGAGTCAATAAGGGGCCCCCTTTGTCGGTAAGCGGCCAGAGTTCTCAACATTGGTCCAGTGTTGGCAAGCGGCCCCGAGTTGTCCAGGGGCGGAGCTCCAAGGGGCCCGAAGGGCTGGTCGGAGGACCTTCAACCATGAATTCGGTGTGAAACGGCTCAGTCAAATGACTTCGAGTCAAGCGCTTAGTGCATAAAGTAGATTTTGAAGTGCCTCATTGCGTGGAAACAAAAACGCTAACTCCATACAATGAAGATGGTATTGAGGATACCCAACGTTATCATCTTACACGCTTTAATAAGTCTTCGGTTAACTACTTGACAATTGGTTATTCTCATTGCTCGACAGTATAGGTGTCTTTGAAGTACGTAACATATCACTTACCTGCGTCTTCATGACATACGAGAGAGTACAAATATCTGTACGCCATGCTGTCAAGTACCACAAGTGGTTCCCCGAAAGTACTTGCAAGTGCTTGCCCTAGTGTCACGAAAGCACAAATTATGAATGAGTCTGGTGTACTCTATACTGCATTTCATCTCATCTTGCTCCCTTGGCAACCTATTAATCCCTCAATGCACACTTAATCCAAGCGCCCCTACGATTTGGACCCCTTTACACTCCCATGGGCCGTTAACAAACCGATGAGTAGTCTTCACTGGAATCAATGAATTTTGGGAGAGAGAGAGAGAGAGAGAGAGAGAGAGAGAGAGAGAGAGAGAGAGAGAGAGAGAGAGAGAGAGAGAGAGAGAGAGAGAGAGAGAGAGAGAGAGAGAGAGAGAGAGAAGAGAGAGAGAGAGAGAGAGAGAGAGAGAGAGAGAGAGAGAGAGGAGCGCGGGGGTGAGGTGCGCCTCGTTGTCATCCATCGGGTGGGACACTGAGGAGAGAGCAATGGGAGGTGAGCCTTGTTGCCAGTAACCGCGTGGAACACTAAGGAGAGAGGTGTGTGAGGGGAGCCTAACTATCATCCACCGGGAGGGACACCGAGCAGTGGAAGGTGTAGGCGAGCCCTGTTCTCATCCGTCGGGCGGGGCACAGATCTGGGAGAAAGCGGGCAGACCAGCGTGCCGCATGCCCGGGGACATTTTCTCTGCGTCCATCCGGTGTGCGTACGTAACAGCGGCGCAGCAACGTCGACCAATCACGGCGCCGAACGCGCGGGCGCGCGCGCGCGAGTTACATCACGCAGACCGACGAGGACGCCAGTTGAAAAATCGTCGAGGGCCGCCAAGCAGTTCAGTCGTAGCGACAGCCGCAGCTAGGGTGGTTGCTCAAGTGAGTCATCCGAGGACGCCGTCGGCTGGACGTGGGCGGGGCTCGCGTCCGCCGGTCCGGCGCGGTCAGGCCGGCGCTGGCCTGGTGCCGACGCGGCTCCGCGCAGAGGCGACCCGGCCGGCGGCGGCGCGGTGCCGGGTGGCCGGCGCGGTTCTGTTGTGCGTGCGCCGCGTGTTCGATGAGCCGTTCCGCCACCGGTGGCCCACCGTCGTGTGCCTTCGCTAAACTGCCCGTTTGATTTCAGGTAAGGTGACGATGAGAGCTTTCCTGGCGTTGGCCGTTCTGGCCTGTGTGGGTCTGGCCATGGGAGACGGAGGAAGTCACGGGGGAGGTCACGGCGGTGGCCACAGCTCCGGTGGCCACAGCTCTGGTGGCCACAGCTCCGGTGGCCACAGCTCCGGTGGCCACAGCTCCGGTGGCCACAGCTCAGGTGGCCACAGCTCCGGTGGCCACAGCTCCGGCGGCCACAGCTCAGGTGGTCACAGCTCCGGTGGCCACGTTGCGTCGCATTCCGTGCCAGCTTCCAGTTACGCCGCTCCCTCCAGCCACAGCGCCGGCGGATCTGGCAGCACTGGATACTACTACTACTACTACCCTGTGCAGGAGCACCAGGCGTCCAACGTAAGTAAAAACGACAATAGACGACACAAGACCGGATTGCTAAAACACACCGCGCCTGTTGGCGATAGAAATATAGGGATGTGGAGCCTAGTACCGATAAGCAAACGTCATGTAAGATATTCCGAGACGTGAGCGCGACAACAGTCGTGCAGCATTTCCTCTCTGACTCTGGAAACGAGGGACACGAGGCCTTCGCATCAGGCTCACCCTCAAGACCAGGCAGTTGTATTCCTAAATCGGACGGGCACTGTGACCTCATTTCACGTCGGACGTCTAACCACACGAAGCAGGCTGCTCCAAGGCTGATCAGAAGTTATTTCCGGCAGCCGGCAGGGTTTAGGAGTAACTTTGACACATCGCTAGACACCAGTATGTCGGTTGGCTGGACGGCAGCCGTGGAATAACACCCGATTACGATCACGCAGCCTGGTTACGTAGATCATGTGGATCACGTAGATCACGTAACCATTGTTCAGATCATGAGCGTGTCGTTTCTCAGCACGAATGGAAGTAACACACGAAGACGAGCGTTCCTCTGCTGCGTGCGGAAGAGCGCGAATGCCAGCAGTTTGCTCCGTTACTACGCTGATCGAATATGTGACATTGGTGTGGGTTCAAGTCCTCTCGCAGGCGGAACTTTCTACCCTGTGGGGGTTAGGTGCCCCGCGTCATTTTCCAGTTTTGTAATCGGCCTATGGGAGTTGTGTGATTGAACAGAGACGGAATCCGCGAGCGTAACTGCCGAGAGAGTTGCCGCGTCTCCGCCACACTGCGGGCCGCTACGCTACAGCGTGCCACGCCCTCTTATCAACTAGTCCTGCGTCGCACCGCTCCATACCAACACTCGACGAACCCGGAATATCGTAGTCCGGAAGAATGAGCCTAAGGCTGTTCAGCTATGCGGTGCCTGCGGCGGGGCGGCCAGTTGCTCCATGTCCCCGCCGCCGGGTCCAGATGTGATCGCATCAGGCCTGACATCGGCCAGCCGTTACAGTGCCCTTCCTCGACCTGGCTCGCGTGGCGGACCGGCAGCCAGTGGTATAGCGGTCCGAAATTCAGGAACTTTTTTGTTTTTCTTTACTTATTTATTCACTCAACCGACTGTCGACATGAGAATGGTCCGCTAACAGGTGGAGTGCGTATTTCTAGCACAGGTGCTTGTCCAATCTCCGATAACAAAACCGAACAATGCCGTCTGAGATGTCATCGTCGCGGGTTACGGACGCACTTATCAAGAGAGACGTCTCCCGGCAGGAGGCTCGTACGCGATGTAGTCCTCGTGCTATCAGCCGGTGGAAACAGGGCCGTTGGCCCCGGCCCCGGTGGCCGCGCCGGTTCCTACTCAGCTCTGCCTAGCAGCTATCTCGGAAAATTTCATTGTTCCTTATGTGGCTCACATTCACGTCTACATCGTGATAATTACGTGTTTTCACTCGGGTGGCTGGTAACGTAGCCAATGGTAATATGGTAATATTATCGGTAATATGGCCCCACCAATGGTAATATTCCATTGGTACGGGAGCTGCCATAGGCCGGCTCGGGTCAGCGCTGGCAGTTTATGGTCACGCTGTTTTTGAGGCTACGTACCAGCAGTTAACATAAGGCCATCGCAACGACTGTAGCTGGCGGTGGTCGCACACGACCCCTACCAGAACAGGCTGAGGTGACGACGCCGTAACTATCCGATCGCGTCAAATCACAAAGTGAAGCCTTTCGGAATCGCCACAAACGCCCGCTGTGCGGGCCGGTTGTGCCCGTCCACACCGTGCCCAATCACACCCGTTTTAACTGCTGCATTCTCCCGCAACAAAGGACGATAGGTCATCTGGAGACCAGCGAGCTCGGGATGTTTTACCTTGGTATTTCATGCCGAACGGGTGTGGTCTGGCCTCAGGGCGGTGGTGTTGAGACGGCCAGCGCGGCTCTGGCTGCCCTGCTGCGGGTAACCGCGCTGCCCTCAGTGGGCGGGGATCTCCCGCCGGTGGTTTTGGGATTCAATTGCGCCACTGCGGGCACAGCCTGGATTATTGTTACGTATTAGCGAGCAGGCCGCATGATATTAACTAGCGTCGTCCCATCAACTTGCCTGACCTCCGAGTGGACCCAGCTGACGCCTTCGCTCAGGTGACACAGAGGGGCGGACACTCGTGACTGCCCCGCGTGCTAACCCCTGCCGTCCGGCCGTCTGCAGGAAGGGGGCGGCCTGGACCTCGCCGGCCCGCTGCTGATCGCTGGCGTCATCGGCATCGGCTGCTGCTGCTGCTGGCCGCAGCCGCCTACGTCGCCAACGACAACAACAACAACGGCAACGGCCGCCAGCTGCTACCCGCGATACCCGACGAGGTCAACCAGTTCATCCACAGCCAGGAGTTCAACCGGGTCGCCACCTTCGCGCTGCGGGCCATCGCCAAGCGGTGGTAGACGGGCAGGTATGCGGCTGTGTGCGCCTGGTGGCCAGGCGAGCCAGCGAGCATGTAGATTTCTGCTTCTCTGGAATTGCAACTCTCTGCGTCGGCGCGATTATGCTTCTATGCGATCTTTGGCTATGCGACATATGTCCTCAGAAAAGTCATGCATCTTCCAGTCGCATGCGTCCCTCACTCGTCACCACTCGTGATCTTGCATACTGCGTGCGGGGCTTAGAGTATCTTTGAGATGGTCGGCCTTAAGCCACGCCTTTGCACAGTCGCGCCAGTGAGGTTAAGATATCACCGTGTCGCCGGGCGCCAGTGGCTGGCTACATGCCGCAACGGCCGCTCATGACTGCTATGGACGCGCGGCCGTTCGCTGATGGGAAACACCGTGCGGTTGTGCTGACATCCGGCTCGGTTTCAGGTCTGTCCGGCTCGGAGGAAGCAGAGAAGCCGGAGGCGCGTGCGGCTGGCCCGGTGCCAAACAGCAGAAACGTCTGAGGTGGTGGTGCTGAAGAGGAGAACGCCGTGCGTGTTGTTTGTATTGATGCCGTGCCCGTGAGGTGTGTGTGTGACCCGGGTAGAAGCTCAGTGGTAGCTCATGCTCAGTGGTAACTCATACGAATCGATCCACAGGGTATGCGTGTGTGTGCGCTCTGCGCATGAGCGGAGGTGCCGCGTCCGTTATCGCCGGTTTGTCCGCAATTCAGACGGTTGTCTGCATGCTTTCTTGCCTGCTTTTTCATTGTTTTTTATGTTGTGCATTTAGTGCAATTATGTCTTGGTCGTTGTTGATGGTCTTAATTGTTGCCGCGTTTGCGCGCGCTGCTCTGGCCGCTGGTTGTGTCGTCCGGCTTTATGTTCCCTCGTTTGTCGTATGTGTGTCTGCCGCTGTTTTCTGGGCACTGCTTTGTTTGTGACTTGTCATGTTGTGCCTCCCGTGTTTTTGTCACACGCGTTTTGAACATGCTTCTGTTTGTGTTCCGTTTTCTGAGTCCTTGTGTTATTAAATGTCGTTCATCGCGTTCATCGTCGTCCCCAGTCACGTCCGTGCTGCTTTTGTGTTCATGTTCATCACAGTAGTTTATTTATTATTAGCAGGCCTGTATTTGTCCCACCGTATCTACAGACTTTTCAGTTCCCTTCCGCTATGTTTCCTAATTTCTTCTCAAGCCTGGGTTTCCACAATGGTCTGCATCACTTCTTATTCCCTTAGGCATGGTCCAGACTCATACACGTACTTAGACACTTACTCCTCAGTCAACCATTTGAGGATGTCAGCTCAAGCCCTGTGATATGTCGCCAGGTTCGCCGCTGATCAAGCCTCATTGTTGCTTTGTTGTTACTTGTTACAGCTGTTGTTGTTACGATTGTAGGTGATTTTCACCGATGTAGAAAAAGCGGAGTGGAAAGCTCGAGCGATCGTTCTCACGGCTCTTCCGCCCGGACAAAGACACGGTGCTGACCTCTGAAGCTAATACAGTTGCTACTTGAATGATATTCCTGTGTTTCCTTAAATGCTGGCATGTTACAGCGAACACTACAGAGTTGATGGTTCCAGCGTAAGAAAACGTGTGATTTGTTTCTGATACGCAGCGCGACTGGCCTGCGATATGTACTCTTCCCAGCGTAAACGAAAGCTACGAAGATTTCACCAATTATGGACTGCGCCAGAGCAGTTAACCAACACCAGTCCCTTTAAAAGAAACCGAAGAAACATGCCTGGCATCCAAGCGCCATTTTGAAAAGGAAGTGCGCCACACTTATAATGCTGGTCAGATCGGAATTTACCTGGCCCTCCACTGAGACTTTCACCGAATATGCCCTGAGCCGGTCCAAAACGGAGCGGTCTTCATACGGCCAGGACTTCTTCAGTGCGTATCAAGTGACCGAGCCCGCGCTCACACCATCGTTGTCGCTTTATTTGACACACAAAGAGATAGCTACGAAGATGATAAGCATCAATCAATACGCGTCATCAATAAATGCTTCATTAATGTGATGAGTCAACAGCATGATGGCCTCTTCAACAGCCCTTACTGTCCATGGAAGCTGTGCTATCTTAAAACCAATAAAGTATTGTAACAGAACAAAGGCCACGAATTGGCCTTGCATGCACAAGCTCACGCTCAATCACAACTCTTTGGTTAATGCGCAAGATTCAAGCTAATATATAACAGAAGCACCTACAGAAGCGTGCGTTATCAATTCACCCCTTGCAGCTGCATGGGTAAGGGATGTGGAAATGTGTGGGACTGTGGGAAGTCACGTCTAAGCCGTTGGGAGCACGGGGCGCAGCGAATGAGTATTTACGCGTACCGTCAAGCTGAACTACACCGCAACTCCCTTCCTCTACTCGCACCGCGGCGTCGAGCCAGTGTCGCCCGCCTGCTGCCTTCCACGCAAGGTTGGAAGGTCAACCGCTCGTCTCCTACTCATCTTCCCAGGCCGCACACGCCAACAGCTGGCACTTGGGATCGTCTGCGAGCGCCGCTTTCCTCATCACCAGCATATTGGTGCTTTTGCTGGGGTAGAACACGCCGATATACCTGAAACCACGCGCATCGTCAATATGGTAACCGAACCTGAAGGTTTCCTTACACAGCCGCCTTTTGTTGCTCGTCGGACGCGCTTCAAAAACAGCTGACGTCATGAGGAAAAGTGTGATCTGTCAGGCAATACGTACACCATAATGCCCAGGCTGAGATAAAAAAACGGCTTGCCCGTCGAATTGTGAGTCATGCCATAGGTCAAATTATCCTCTTAAATAATCTTGAACAGTCAGGTATGCAAGCTAATTACAATCAATGTGTTACCGCTTATCGCCTACAACCATCACAAAAATAAGTCAAAATTGCAGACGCCCTTCCTCCCCAAAAGAATACTCTTTGTGCATTTAAACGTCGAAAAGTATACGAATTCAGCAAACTACGACGCAACGGATGCTTGGCTTATGGCCTGGGGTCATGTGCGTCGCACGTGTGTCCGACGCAGGTAATCAACGCCTGAGTGAGCACACCATGAGCGTCGAGTGATCGGAAATACCTGCCCGTATTTCAGCGATGCCTAAGTGGCGCCAAGAAATGCCCCCCCCCCCCCCACAGAGGGGCAGACCGGCCTCGTGCATGCCAGGCGTACGCGGGTGTGGGACGTAATATCCACGGATAAACAAATGTGTCATAATCCGATAAGCAACACTGTAAAGGCCTTACAACCACTGGGCACCAGTCCCTTCTCTCCCACGCCAATCGCGCAGCAAGCGTACGGTGCGAGCGCGTGGCCTCGCTGAGAGCGTGTCCACTGCCGCCCCGGGCGGGCGGAGTACGGCGCGTGCTCGGCCGCGACCGTGGTCAGGGCCCGACGCGCCGCGCCTGCCCGGTCGCTCATCTCTGCTCCACTGGACGAAGTGCAGCAACAGCCGGAGGGGTGGAATATTGCAAGCAGGTTGGTTCTGAAGGTCGCGCGAGCTGATCGCGCCCGGAGGAGGCGGTTCCGGCGCAGACGCGACGGCGCGCCACCCGCCGACCGCGGCCGACGCCGTGACACACAAGGTCATGGTCGGAGTGGTTCTGCTTCGTCAGCGTGAAGCGCGGCGCCCGATGCGCCTGTAAGAATAGGCTTTGACAGGCGGCCCACATATCCGTGAAATTGTTGGTTGAGACGTCAGAGATAATGCTTCCTTAATAGCAAGGGCAATCACGTGGAGCTTATCGGCCATCTGTGGTCTTCATCACTGTTCAGCCTTGATAGCATCTTTCATGGAAGCTTTTTTCCGTGGAAATCTCACTCCCACTTCTCATCTGGATGCAACTCAGTTATAAGTGTCTGAATGCGAAGTTGACTGGGAATAAAGGACATTTCGATTGTTAAAATAAAGTTGTATAAAGGCTATTAACTGATTTCAACTCATAATTCCGAAAAAGGAGCTAAAGGCCTTATTAACATCAAGTGAAACTTTGATTTAGGCGGCCCCTCTAAATAAATGACTTATTAAACCCCTTTGCACTGCAAACTGGGACGTGTCAAAGAACGGAGTGTGTTCTTTATCTACCGCAGACAGCGCGACCTCTTATCATCTTTTAGTGGTAGTGTCTGCACAGATTTGGAGCATTTTCTGGATTCACGTTTCTTATTTTTCAAGTGCAATATTTTGCTGAATCTGTCTGAATCCTTGCCACTCTCGAGGATAAGCGCAGGCTCGAAATGTCGAGTACCATCAATGTAGTTGTTACTAAGCACTAGAATGTCGTCTAACCAGTGTCTCCATGGTAAAGCATTGGTCGTTAACTCAACGTGAGGTGTTTTAACTCACAAGGCAAAAAAAGAACAGCCCTTTCTTCCTTATGCCAAGTGCGTCGTAGCCATTAGTCCTTTACATGACTTATATGTGCCGGCACTCACGCAATATCTTCATTAACCGTGACGTTCATGTCATCAGCGTCATGTTTCCATGCTCACGGTAAACTATTGTGAGGTATCTGACGTCCATTTTACATGTAACGCATCCGTTCCGTCAATTGGCGTAGTCCGCTTTGAAAATACCCATGCAAAAAGTCAGACACAACTCGTGCCATAAGGGATGTATCGTGTGCAGCCCGTGTCACAAGGCCCCGACGAGGACCGGCCCGCGCCGCGAGGTCCCGACGAGGACCGGACTGTGTCGCGAGGGTCCCGACGAGGACCAGCCCATATCGCAAGGTCCCGACGTAGACCGGCCCGGCCCGCGAGGTCCTGGCACCGTGCCGGCGGCTCCGCTCCAACCTACTTGAGGATGCGTTCAGTGTAGGGCGTGTCGCCGACCACCGAGCCCAGCTCGCAGAACAGCCGGCTGGTGCACAGCGGGTCCTCGCTGATAGATTCGTAGATGGTTCTCAGGCGGTACACTAGGTCATCGGACGGATCATCCAGGTCATCTGGATCGAGGCGTTAGTATCAGTCAGTGTGCAAGCCAGGAACAATGCACAGCGATAACAACAGCTTGGCGTTGACGTACAGAAGTGGGTTTCGTCTTTTGTTTTGCTCTCTCTCTGGTATCTTGATCTGGGTTGCAAAAGCTTGTACTCATGAAAGCCATTTGCCATTAATCAAAGCACGCCTTATGGACTGAGGCAATGCTCTCAAATATCATCATCTAAAATTGCTTTTGACTGAATTGAAGGCTGGCCAGTTTCTTCACAGTGCAGCCTAGTATAGCTCATGCAAAAACTAGAATGCACCGAGAGAAGGCAGTAACGGCTGATTGCAGATAGCAAACTCGGCGGGTTTTTAGCGCGCTAGCACCCGGTTAGCATGCATCATTCGTCACTTGCCATTCATCGTATGCGGCTCAACGCGTCAGGTTTCTACGTGTTGTGACACCAAAGGCCTGCAAAAACGTCTAAAAGCGCGTTCCGGATTCCGTTCGGCTCCATTGTGAGCTGAACGACGCCTGCGCGTCGTCGAGGCGGACGTGACGGCGCAAGTTCGCCGGGATGAATGCTCAGCACATGATGACCCGTATCCGCAAGGCGGACGTAGATCCACGCCTCTTTTCTCGTAATGACGCTGCAAGATGAGGGCCAACCGGCCGTGTACCGCGCGCAGTCCTGGTCTGGCCTGTCCTGTGTCCTGATACGACGGCGCGATCTGTTCTGGCGAGCCAGCCCGCAGGTCTGCCGGCGGCGGTTGCGCAGCTTACCCACGGGAGCCGCGGCGCGTCGTCGCCGGGTGCCAGAGACGTTGACCACAGATGGGAACAGGAACAACAGCCCGATGACCAGCAGGATCGGGATGATGATGGCGCCGTACTTGCCCAGGTTGTCCAGCAGGCCGCCGCCGCTGCTGTACGACTGCGCCTCCGTGTAGCCGTAGCTGTCAGAGTCATCGTAGCTAGACTGACTGTAGCCGACGCTGGGCTGGCTGTAGCCATGGCTCGGCTGCACATAGCCGGAGGAGCTGGAGTGGTGGTGTCCCCCGTCCCTGTTGATCGGCGTCACCGGCGACGCGGCCTGGCTCTTGACGTTGGTTGGCAGGCTCTGGTACACCTTCTGCAGCTGCTGGAACGCCTGCCGGTCAGCCGGCACGGCTGGGAAGCGGACGGCGCCCTGTCGGTTCTGGGTCGGCGTCTGCAGCGTCTTGGCCGCCTTGGTGGCGGCGGTGGCGATGGCTGATGTCTGGGAAGGCGTGATCGTTTTCCCGGCGGCCAGGCCGAGCCCAGTAGGAGAGGTGTCAGTCGGACCATATCTGAAGGAACAGGAGCCGAGCAAACTCCATAAGCAAACAACAATAATATGCCATTGAACAAAGCGCGCGTCAGTAAGACATCCTCTTGCCATTGAAGATGCCTGACAGTTAAGGCCCATTTGTTAGAAGCCGATATTTTCCTGTTACTGGTTGAGCATTAGAATGACTGATCGGAAGATTTTCATTACTTAAAAGGAGTACCCCACCTTTTTTTACCTTTAAATTATTGTTACATCAAACACGTAGATTTGATCAGTGATGCCGATTTTCTCGCAATCCTTCTGAAAAGCTCAGAGTTTGGATTTGAAGCAGCCGCTCTTGCGAGAGAAATTTCACTGGAATCCATGCCCACCACTACGAGAGTAACGTATTTCGTTTCCCACGCTTTTCCAGCGTTTGCTTTCTGTGATGTTAATACACACTTAATGTGTCAAAACTAGTGCGTAATAGATGCTGCGGAACCTTGAAACATTCTGCTTGGGCAAAACGTATGCAAACATGAAACAATTATCCCGCGAATTCAACGCAACGTTGCATTATGACCTTGATTTCTCCCCAGCGGCGTTTGCCGCGGTGGCTATTTTCGAGGCGCACTTTGGCTTTGGGAATGGGAATATCACATGATCCGCATGACGCACTAGTTCAGACTTTAACCAATGCACTTCTCGGTAACGGAGCTTCCTCGAGCCTAAGAGGTTTTACTGGAGTGTGTTTTTGAAATGTGACCCAAAAGTGGGTCACACACTTCAACACCATCCCCGACTTGCTATTTCAGACATTGTTCTAGCTGGCACGTTCATTTCGGTCCTCTCATACCTCAACTTCGTTGTATGATTATTGAAAATATTGAATACAGTTTTATGTTAAGCGTAAGCAATCTTCAGCCTACCTGGAGGTACATTTTCAGCTACGCCATCAATGGTGACAATCATGACAACGCTCACATTTTGCCCAATCCCGCTGCAAGAAAAAAATATTCTGGATTGAATTTCCATTTCCATTTAGCCTCCGTCTTTATTGATTTGTAAACGTTCCACACGAAGGCAATAATCTTTTAGAGCCTATTCATGAGAGTAATAGAAGATGTACGCATGACTTACCTTATGTGACCAAAGTTGAGTGGTTCTTGGGAGCTTGAACGCTCATTTTAGCATTCTTACATTTTTCTAATTTCATTTGATATGCCCGAGAAAAATCATGTTGTGATGATCAGGAAGCAGCAAGAAGGAGGTTAAGCTCTAGCAGTACCCCCGATTTTAAAGACAGTCTAAATAGTTCACCTTCTTGTCATGGTATCTGACATTCCTGTTTTGTACTTCGGAGCTAATGCCTAGTAATTTCACTCGAATGATCAGGTTGTCAGTAGCTATCAGATTAATTATTTCAAGGGAAATCGGAGTGATCCGATCTTTATTTAGTGAATTAGGATAGTTAGGAGCACTAAAAAATTTCACAGCCATATTTTGGACGGCATGAGAATGGTCAGGAGATAATCCTGGGAATCATTACGATCCCAAGGCCAAGAACAGTGTCAACGCCTGGAAGCGTCTGGCCTAGTGATGGGCGCCTGTGACCAAAAAGATGTCCGTCGGGCACGCAGCGTCTCTCCGGAATGTCCACCTCTCGCAGAATATACTTCATCTTCATTGGATCGCTCTTACAGCATCCTTCCACTCCACAATCGTGCTCTCACTTTGTGGATTGTTCGCAACAACAATAGAATTAATCAAATTACTACGAGCGTGGCCGTAGACCGAGAAAGCCTCGCCTTAGCTAATCAGGAAAATGTGAAACCTTCAGCCGTTGGGCCCCGGCCCAAACCTGCCAGACACGCCTTTGACGGGAGTATATCTATGCATGCCCTGATAGCGCCACTGTTAAATGTTCAGCAGCAAGAAGCTCGATTGTGCTGTGATATTTGTAAGGCATTTGAATGCTTCGATCCTTTAAATGCTTACATGCGTTAGGCTGTTGGATCAGGCGGCGAACTCCCATGAAGTTGAAATGTGGCCACTATTTCACCTCCCCGTTCGATTGTAATGGGACACATTGGGAATCGAATATCGACGTAATGAAATTGAAATTCAAGTAATGAAGAACATAGGGAACGAATGATCCAGAACTAGGCGACCAGGCACCACAGTAACATGAGACCAACACTGCCGGAGAGGAAAGTGGAAAATGTTACTGGCCAAAGTGCGGGTCCATGTGCGCAGGCGATCTCGCACAATCGTGCGCCACCATGGATCCGCGCTTCTTCGAGCGCTCTATTTAACTCGGCCAGAGCAAGCTGAGGCGTGAAGCTGCGCGATATATGGGACTGTGCCTCCCACAAATAGGATGATCTTTTCACTGTTCACACAGGGGCTGCAAAGGCTCCACCGTCACGTTTTTCAGAACCGGCCTGGAATACGACGGGTCGGGGCCCAGACCGGAGAAGATTGGGCCTTGGCATACGTGGGTGCCATTTCCCGGCTTATTGTTGGCAATACTTATCCCAAATAATAATGACTTCCAATATTTCTATAGCAGTCACCAAAAATGTGGCCCATGCGGAGTTCGCTCACTTCGGCGATTTTAATTGTCAGGCATTGGCAGACCCAACGCCACCCAGCATTACAGCCATATATGTGTACGGCGTGCGAACGGTCACATTAGCACGCTTACGCCTTCCAAGCTGATGATATGGGGATACATAGGTCCTTTAACGCAGATGTGTAATGCAGAACTCTGGGTTGAGCGTACTTAGTTTTGACTGTCATGGCAGTACGTAGCGCACAAATGTAAAGGAAGATCGGTCAACCAGCCACGGAATTGCAAGTAAAGTCGTACCCGACGTATATTTGGAATGACATACATCAGATTGATGCACTTTGTATAGCAATTTACCCAGTAAAGAAGCGCATCAAAGTCAGATTGGTTTCGTTTCACTGACTTTTCACTCAGTTATGACTTTAAAAATTATCCATTCACAAGAAGCCCAAGAAATCTCGGCGCAGTAGCCAGCAACAATACTGAGCTGGACCGAAGGCGCACTCGCCTTCCAGATCATGTTTCCGCATCGGCTGTTACATGTGCGACACACACGCATTTGCAGGAGCAGGACAGCGGCGTGACTCTCGAGCCCTGCGTGGCCCGTCCGCGGCCACGGTCACGGGCAAGTCAAACCGTCCAGTCATCGCCGCTCAAGCTGCCCCGCGGCACACTCAGTCTCCATTAGAAACTCACTAACTAGCTTCACGTTGGCCGGGCAGGCGGTGCTGCACGAGGCGGCTGGTGACAGGCTGATGCCGAGGGCCAAGGCAGACGTCCGCGCACTGGGCCACAGATCGGAGCGCGGGGTCGTTCTGGTCGCCCGGGGCACCTACCTGACAGCGGGCCGGCGGACGAGATACTGCTGCCCCCCGTCACGACGCGCGGCCAGTCGCCGACCCCCGTCACCCCCCGTCACGGAAGTACGCGGGGTGAAAGGTCTCGTGACATTGTGTCCAGCGGCGGCTCGTCGCGGCTGCGTGGCGCGGCGAAAGTGCCGGCTTGCAGCTCTAGTTGCCACCCACGGTGGCGAAACAATGGGTGACCGTCACGGAGGGTGACGCCGGCGCGCGTCACGCTACCGTTTCCCGCGTCACCGTTACGTCACCTCTTCATGCGGTCCCCGCAGCGGGAGGACGATGTGAAGGACAGCAGCGCGGTGTGCATCGAGCCAGCCTAACTGACGTTGCACTGCAGGGCGGGCCAGCCTGGCTACGCTGCACTGCAGGCAAGCAGTCCCTCAGGGCTTGATCTCAGGCGAGCAACTGTCGTCTTAGTGCGCTTTATTTATTCACGTACCCAACCATCACAATAACTGCAAACATGCCTCGCGATCTAGTTGCGCAGCGTCCTGTTGCAGCGAAGCAAGTAGAGCGCGAGATTTCTTGCAAAATGCTGACGTCATATCGTGTGAAATCGTGTTACTCATTTGGCAACTCGGCAATGGATGATTACGCTCTGTTTAGATAAAGTTCGGCTAGTTATAGGCGATCGATGTCGGAATGATATTCAGTATACCTGAACAAAAGAGCGACCTGTAAAATACACCTAAACTCAAAAAAGCACCTGTAATTTGGAGGCGCTCTTTCCAAATGGGCTGCCAAGAAGATATTCTTCTCTCGGATAGAACATGTTTGACGTTCGACAGTTTTTGGCACGATGACTTCCACCTGATTGTCAATGACCAACTACAACATCAACGTCAAAGTAAAAAGCTACTCCCTACTCATATTAAGTGCTTTTCATGGGTTAAATTCGCACGCTGCAGCCGAGTGCATCACGCCAAATTTGAATCAAATCCGCCGACCTCTGCTTTACTATTTCGCCACTTGTTTGTTTTATAATAAATTCCAAATCTAGTATGGTTAAATTCTGCCTAGCGAAAACATTGGTCACCATGATTGGTATAACAGACCTTCAGGGGCAAGATTCCCATTAACCGCCCGTTTGTCACTCTCCGAAGCATTATAATGGAATGGAATGAAATGAAACGTCCATTGATGCGTAAAGAAGCATTCAATAGACTGTAAGATTGCGCATTTTATTGCTTGTGGTGCGCCAAGGCTTCAGGGGCGCGAAGCTAATGCTTCAGGACACGAAGAAAGATAAGTCAGCACCAAGCGACATCCACCAGCAACCAAACTAAGCTTGCAGTTCTCCAAACATAGAGCGGGCAGACAGGTAGCTGAAACTCTCCGATGAGAGGTCACATCTCGTCATAAATATGATTAATGCTTCAGTTGACGATGCACTTGCTTATGTTCATGCGTCCGTCTTATATGTGTATTATGTTTGTCCACGTGCGTAGAAGAGAGTTGAGTTTGGCAGCGTGGTTGGTTTTGGCGCATGCTCGCCATCACCATGGAAACAACATGAACATATCTTGCTGAACTGTAGCTTCTCAAAGGCACTAGGATAGCGATTATCCACGAAGCATCCCAATTTACCCCGTCTTCTTTGCTCCACGGCAGGTAAGTGGCCCGACGACTCGGCTCATGAGCGTGACTCATTTGAAGATGGATCCTCGTTCAGGAGATCCTCTGAGACCACAACCCTCAAACTGATCGAGGATGTGAAAGCGTAAGCGTCGATCTTGAAAAACAGGCGTTGCAAGGTCAGAGGAATCACGACTGAGGTTCGCGCACCATGTGGTATGACTTGGATTGTTATTCACGGTCTTCACATGAGTAAGGTGTCTGCCAGGCGGGTGCCACGATACATGAGCCAACAAGATCGGTATCAGGGGTTAAATTGAGGAAGTGGCTTCTCGCTGCGCACGGTGCTGATCCTGCAGACCTCTTTTCACGTTTGGTGACAGGGGATGATACGTGGCTCACCACTGGGTTCCCGACCCAAAGTGTAAGGGTGTGCGGCGAAAGCACAAGGGGTTTCTCACTCCTAAGAAGTTCGGACCCAGACCTCTGCAGTCATAGTGCAGAACATCCTTGCAGAACATGTATGTGCAGAACATCATTGACAACTGCGGCTTTGAAGAGCTCATCGTCCGGCCTGTAATCTTAACCTTGGCCTCAAGTGACTCTTACTTCCCCGACGTTTGAAATCGCACCCCTGGGAAAGGAGGTGCACTGATGATGATTGTATGCGCACCTGCGGGAGGATGGCTGATATACATACCAAGGGAGTTCTTCCTCAGACGCATCGAGATCATCGGGGAGATATAGAAGAGGTCCACTGCTTTAAGGAGAAAGAGCATCGATGAGTGTAACAGCTTCCTGAGATCTACAAGCGTTATTGATGCCTCGTCATTCGAATTTTGCCATCAATCATGCATTCCTTTGTTTTAAAATACATGCTACTTTCCCGCGTTTTTGGAACTTAGTATGTTGCTCGTGATCGGTTTTACAATAATAGCCATTCATTGGGCCATAACCTATTCATTTGTTTACACTGGCGATTGACCCACGCAAGTGGTCTCAGGCCATATACCGTAACATTATCTGCCTACATCATCCTTTTACTAAATGCGTTACACTTTTCAGCAACTGTCACCACTGCGTACAGGATATGTTCTCGTCTCCCACCCCCATTTGGTCACAATGGCCGTTCTTTTAGAGAAGAAGGGTCCAAAATAGCTGATGTCTGCTTGTTTAAAAGTCTAGCACGCGGATTGTATACGGCAGGTTTGTAAACGATAGGCGGCGTTTTATAGATTGTGGCTTCTTGATGTGTTGCAAAATGTAAATGATTTACGTTAACAATTAGATCTTAAGCATGACTTGGATTGTGACAAGCAAGTCATCTGAAGTCTGTACCGTAATGTTGATACGCTTAATCAGTGGTGCAACCATATCTCTGAGAGTGATAGGAGGCAAATCAAGATTGTGATCTTAACTGAAATGTGGGGGGTTAAACCTGGAAATGACATGAAAATTACAATTTTGAATGATAAAATGTAAAAATGAACTATGCAAACAAAACAAGACACGGTAATACCACATTTTGGGGAATTGTAGAGATGTTACACTGCCCTCTCCGCAGATTGTCAGACAGCAAACAATGCTTATCCTACATTTTAAGTTGCATACACTGAGAACGATAATGATAAAATGCTGCTTAAATTAAAACAGCCCTTAGAACTGTCCACTTAAATACTTGTTTTATTTATCACATCACTGGTTTAGATTTTGTTGAAATCCAACACTTTCTCCCACACGCACTGATAACTGCGTGCAGGGACTATGTTCAGCAACCGGGGATCAAAAATCTCTCTCTCTCTCTCTCTCTCTCTCTCTCTCTCTCTCTCCTCTCTCTCTCTCTCTCTCTCTCTCTCTCTCTCTCTCTCTCTCTCTCTCTCTCTCTCTCTCTCTCTCTCTCTCTCTCTCTCTCTCACTCTCATCGTTCATGGGGATGCATACATACAGAGCCATAAATTTCGATACACATCATAAGCGAAATCGCTGAAGCGAGGAACCGATCATAGACGCCGAACGGCTTGTGTGGAATGGACATAAGCAAGGTGCGAAATTTAACTTGACGCTTATCTTTTTTTAGATTGCTATGCAGCCGAATTCAAATTTAGAATGGACCATTCATACTGTGACGGATTGGACATGGCTGGATTCAGCAACTCTGAAAAATTGGAAGTTCTAGTGAAGAGCATAGTCGCCAATCAGTATACCAGGGGTACTGGTCAAATATTTTAAACATGCAGGAATTGCTTTATCGTGACAACGTTTTCCTTAGAAGATGTTGAGATTTAGTGAATTTACGCTGAGATGTATTTCTATTTCGGAGAGACATTTAGGCATGAATTATATTCAGTTGATAGTATATTCTTCATGAGTGTGAACGTAAATTTAGTTTTCTCATTGCAGCTAAAGTTTGCTTCGTTACGCCCTTAAACCAGTAGTCTCTTGTCACTGAAGACCAAAGATTTTTATCGTAAGAATTCCCAACTCGTAGCGGTAAAAAACCAAGAGCTTGAGGTCGGCCTTGCTTGCATGTTTTTTTTATTGTTAAAAAAATGTTGAAAATTTTGTTGAAAAATATCTTGCAGCGGGATTAAATTTTGAACTCGCGGACAGAATTGGACCGGACCCTGAGCATGCATTCTGCAAAGAATACCTCCGCTTTTGGCCTAACCGCCTGAGAAGTGCCCAGCCGCCCGTGCGAGGTTGACGAATTGAACCAGGCAAACCATCCGGTGTGGCAGCGGAAAACATCAAGAGGACGAGAGCGCGATGAAGTAAGTTTACGTCATGATTCAACAATCCAGTAAATTTTTCTAAGCCTTCAGCTCAAATGGCGCTCACAGAGGCACTCTGAGCAAATGATCTTCTCCGACGCAAACGACTCCAAAGCAAACGATGTTAGTTGTGTAGACGAGGTGCTGTTCCGGTGGTACCTCTGCATGCCGGCCATGCGTTGAGCAACACCGATCGGCTCGCGGAAGCTGGTTAATTTATTGCTGCGTGATAGTTCAGCCGTTACTCAGTGATCCGATTTGGGCCAGTAGGACCTCAGTCATCTCCCGGCTCATGTCAAAGTACAGCTGGCGCCGTTGCGGGTCAGCAGCACAGAGCTCTTGGACGGCGTTACACATATTCACTGCAGGATCTGTGTTGATGGAGCATCTCCGACACCCACATCCGATGCCGTCTGGCTGGAGACCTCTCTTCCTCGATCAGAAGCCTCGTTTGGGCTATGGTGACGTCGATCTGCATGATAACTTGAGCTTTATATTTCCGATGGTTGATGCCACGAGAATGTGTCTTGTTTATGTTCGTTGTTTCTGTTTGTGACCTTGCATGCTGCTCTGTATGCAGTACAAGAATACAACTGCAAATAAATAGTAATAAGCATTATTACTGTCCATTATTTATAAGACGTATCCATTTTAGTTCTATAAAGTTCCTGGATAGTCTTGTTTGCGCGCATAAAAGGACGGTGTTCTAAGATTCGGTGCGCGGATGCCGTCATTCGGTCGTTCCTCGACGCACCAACTTTTGCTGGTGGGCGGCCACCTTTTACCATTGTCACGTTGAGAAGATAGCGGTGATTCGTTCAGTAAATTGTTGATCGTTGAGCACACTTTTAAAAGGTTTGGTGTATTTGGATCACCCCAACATTTTAACGACATCTTGTCATAATAATAAATAATTGTGGATTGCTCCACACAAACAGGCAGCTACATGAAGAATTGCATGACGTAACATGTGACTGAGATGGGCTAAGACGTACAAGTAACAAACATACAAATGAATCGTTTTTGCTTGAGACGTGCTCGCAAACACGCCAGCAGGCAGTGCTTGCATGGGACATGGACATAAACATGAGAAAGGGTGGAAAGGGCTAGTACTGGGACATGGACAGCAAACATACCACATTTTAATGTATCGAACATAACTTGAGCTCGGGCTGAAGAAAACACAGACGACGACAACGAATATGGACGACATTAGACATCACGTGAAACTGGCGGTCGGACACAAACAGCTTGGACATCATGGACATAACACGAGTAACAGAGGACAACGTAGCATACAGACATTACAAATATTGTGATACAACGACAGCATGTACAAACGCAGCACATGGATACCATGGACAAACATTTAAACAGATACCCGGATACATGAGAGATCACAGATAAACAACAGCGAAATACATAACACCGGGACGAGGACAACAACACTCTGGAGAGGGACTAAGACAAGACAGACAAAGTTTGATATCAACGAGGCATATTTGGTGCTACAGCTGCGGTGTAGTTCGGTATCTGGAGATGTGTTTTGTATTTGCGGAATCACTGACAGCAGTGATAGGTATAAAGCCGTTAGTTAGCCTCGGCAGTGTAGGATGTCAACATCAGCACCACGCATAATCAGCAGACATTTTAACGGCGACTGGAAACGAACGATCGGGGTACATAAAAGTTATAACAACAGCCTGCGCCTTCATGAGTGTGCACTGCGGACGAAGAAGATTTCCTCACCAGCCAGTGCGGAGAGAAACCGACGAGTTGCAGAGGCAAGAGGGGCATCAACAAGTAACAAAGCCCTCTGAAAAGGAAGAAGCCCGTCCGACGACGTGCTCCCAATCGGCCAGCCCTGGAATTGAGCTCTGCAGCACCCTCAGTTCTCACCCCACGCCACTCAAGAGTGCAGACCACATGACGGTGATTCAGATGAGCATGATGAGCCCTCGCCGAATGCGATGGATCGGTGTCCCTCTTGGAACCTGCCTTCGCGTGCTGCCAGTCTCCACGCAGTTCCCTAGGGCCATCCAGATCGAGTGAGTCCCCCCAGATCAAGCGAGGCCTCTCAGATTGTGAGAGGCCGCCTGAGGCCAACAGAGGCCATTCCGGCCCAAGCAAGGTCCCCTCAGACAGAGGGAGGAGTCCCTTCGGGCCGACACCGCCGACAGGTAAGCCTACGACGCCGACGTGGGCGGCTCGCACTTGAACATCTTCCTGCACTGGTTCTTGTCGTAACCGCCAGTGGCAGCCTTCTTCAGCACGCGGGCGTTGTTCTGCATCATCTCGGGCAGGTAGTGCTCCGCCAGACTGGGGAGGACAGAAGGCGTGAGCAGCCCGAGGCGGTGAGGTCGTAAGTCAGGCACGGGCAGGTCGTCAGACTGTGGACACCCCAATTCTGCAATTCTCCTGAGAGTCAGAGCGCAAATGTCGAGCTGAAATCGTGATCATGTTTCATAACTTTGGAGGGTAAGGGCTGAATTGGCTTTGTAAAACGATAAAGCCGGAAAAAGTGAGAACTGCTGGGAGGCCAGATGAAACAACATAGGTAAATTTAGGGTTTTGCAGGTAAATTATTGTGTTACAAATGGCAGCAAACCGCATGAAAAGGGCAATCTCAAAGCAAATGCGCAAAAATGAGAGACAAGGTAGTGTGAGGAGTACCGAAGCCACCCCAGTTGTTTCCACCCAGCCAACAAGTCAGGAGACGTCCAACTAGCGGGGTTATGACGCTTCTTCTTTGGCTTCCAATAAGAAACGACAGTTTCCGTAAGAGACTGACAGAACAGGCTTAAGTTCTGAAACGCAAAACAGGCAATATTATGCCAGAGAGCTTAGTGATATTATGGCACACTACGTGTGTGCGGCTTGAACATGCACAGATCGAATCATGAGATGTCGAATTTCGAGCAGACGTTTGCTGTCGTCAGATCAGACGAGATTATCATCAATGCTAGTCTAAAGGCGTGGGCTTTTCAGTGGGCTTGGACTGCCACATGGCTAGCAGCGATTTTCACATTGGTTATGATGGAGACGGCCACAGCTGGTGAACACCTTTACATTCAGACACACGGCTGTCTTGCTTGCAGATTGGTCACGCCATATCAGGCCAGAGCGGTTATGATGGTTTCAATACCGAAACTCAGGCCTTCCCTTCTCAGGTTGCTCTTGGACCCCGCTGACCCACATCACCTGTTCGCGCACGCGCGCAGCGGTCCGAGAACGGACTTCACGCCCGGGGCGTGCGGAGCGGCGGTGCAGCACGAGCTTGCATTCTAATGACTTTCAATCAGGTCATGCAACGCGGCCGGGACGCTTTCCACCAGCGGCGCCTGAGGCGCCGGCGCGCGGCGGCACCGTGGCCGGCCTCTCTCCCCTCTCTCCCCCGGATGTGGAGGGCTGAGAGGCCGGCCGTGTCCCACTGACACCGGCCGGAACCACCGATCCAGGGCGCCCGCCGGACCAGAGGCCGGTCACCGGTCACCAGCCACCAGAGGCCGGTCACCGGTCACCAGCCACCAGAAGGCCGGTCACCGGTCACCAGCCAGACCAGAGGCCGGTCACCGGTCACCAGCCAGACCAGAGGCGGTCACCGGTCACCAGCCAGACCAGAGGCCGGTCACCGGTCACCAGCCAGACCAGAGCCGGTCACCGGTCACCAGCCAGACCAGAGCCGGTCACCGGTCACCAGCCAGACCAGAAGCCGGTCACCGGTCACCAGCCAGACCAGAAGCCGGTCACCGGTCACCAGCCAGACCAGAGGACGGTCACCGGTCACCAGCCGGACCAGAGGCCGGTCACCTGCCAGCGTTCCCAGACAGGACGCCCCGTGTTTGGGATTTTGGTCTTCGTCGATATGGACCCCACGGTGTCCCTGAACGGCCCTCAGAGATAAAAATCCAAATAGTGGGGCTAATGCTATTAGTTGCATACAAGACTCACGATAGTTACAAGGTAATCATATCTGGGAGTTGTTTTTTTAGAAAATGTGATACTTGAGGACTTTGCGCAGCACTTAGTTTGGATTGACCTTAATGACACAGACAAAATGGAAACAACTGGGTTTACTGTTGTTTTTTTCAGCGACACCTAAGTCCGACAAATGAATTTGCTACTGCTGAAGCAAAAGGCTGTCGACAATCCATAAAGCCTGATATCAAACTAAGACCAGCCCAAAAAAACTCACATCCGTTAAGTCAGTATTAGATGTCCTACCCTACTTTTTCTGGATGCGTCTGTGGCTAACTGTACCCGGCGGCAATGGAGCATGGCACATCCACATACAATGTCAGAACCAAGCATCGCCGACAGTTTGCGTGCTGTGGTCGAGTCTCACCTCAAGAGCATGTCCTTGCCGGCGAAGTTGTAGGAGCGGGCGTACAGGCCCAGCTCACACATGGTGCGCGGCACGCAGTCCTCCGACTCCAGAACGTCCACGTAGGTGTAGAACACGCGCTCCACCTCGCTCTTCCACTCGTTAAGCTTGTCGAGGCGGGCGTTGTCGCCGGTGCGGCCGGTGCCGTTGGTGTTGGTGAAGAACATGGCGGCGATGGCGCCGAAGAGCAGGAGGATGCCCCCGAGCACGAGCAGCGGCAGCAGGATGGAGCCGAGGATGCCGAACAGGCCGGGCTTGCCGCCGCCCGACTCGTGGTACACCGGATACTTGTGCTCCTGCACCGGATAGTAGTAGTAGTAGAGGTTGCCGGAGGAGCCGCCATACGAGGGATCTGCGTACGAGGTGCTCGGTGCGCTGTACGAGGCGCTGGCCACGCTGTGGCCCCCACTGTGGCCAGACCCGCTGCCGCCGATTGAGGCATACGAGCTGCCGCCGGAGCCGTGGCCGCCGCCGTGACCGCCTGAGCTGAAGCTGGCGCTGTGGCCGCCGCCGTGACTGGAGCCGTGACTGGAGCCGTGGCTGGAGCCGTGGCTGGAGCCGTGGCTGGAGCCGTGGCCGCCGCCGTGGCTGCCGTGGCTGGAGCTGTCCCGCGCCTGCGCCCGCAGCGCGGCAGTCGTCTCTCCTGGCTTGTCGACAGCCAGGGCCGAGGCCAGCGCGGCCATACAGAGCGACAGCAGCAGCCGCCTCATCCTGTCGGCAGAGACCAGAGCGTCAGGCGACTGCAGGCAGTGCCACGCACAACGCTACGCTGAGCGATATGTTTTATGGGACAGCTTTTTAACATATGTAAGACAAAAGCTGTCACAAAATCCCTGCAAACGTTGCGTGAGCTGGCTAATCTAGCCTCACGCGTTGTAAGGTTGTGTAATTCCCCGTATGGCAAAGACAAAATATCACACTGGCCTGCTCTTATCACAAACGCTGTTCTTAATTCACACATCACAGACAAATGGTAATCGTAACTTCCCGTGTACCCAAAGTGCGTGAAAATCTACGGATGACCACCATGAGGTTCAATTCGAGAACCTCTGTGGGCGGGACTGTTGATGGGTGGATCAGGGACGCGCGGTAGGTCTGGACAGAACATCGCAATTGGTATTGCAAATAGACATTTTTCGCCCCTTGAAATTGATTAGCCTGCGTTCCTTTATTGGCGTATGTTTTATTAGGACGTTAAACGATTTAATTTAATGCCAAGCTAGAACTGAATTATTCCGAAGTACCATTTGTTGCAAAAATAATGCGATTTTCTGGTTTTTATGTCGATTACTGTAAGACAAAAACAGGTGCGGATTTCTTAGTAACAGCAAAAATATCCTTGCATCGAAATATTTGAGCAACAATATTCTGTATGCCGTTGTCGATGGATGTAAAACTAGTTTCCATAAATTCATACATAGGTATGGTTTTCAGAGATAACTAGGTTTTTTATGCCTTCCAATTGCTTTCACGAAACTTCATCAACGAAATAAGTACATCGGAAAAGGTCAGTTTCGTGACCGACGTTCTGGCCCTGGGACTTGGGCTGCGGTGTTCGGCGCAATCATTCTTGCGCACGGGGCGTGCTCGCTCATTGCCATCCGGTATAAACAACCACGCACTACTTTAGTATCTCACTCCGGCGACCACAGCCAACTCGTCTACCGCTCACGACTTAGGACTTGGCTCGGCGTGCGCCGCCGGTCCTCAGTTCTCGGGCGCCACTCGAAGTTCCGTCGGTCACCACTGCACCACTGTCCTCTGCACCGCACCGCACCACTGTCTGGTCGCCGGCACCGCGCGGCTCCCGGCCCACGGTCAGGTCAGGCCAGATCGGGTCAGGACAGCCGACGGCCGCCGTGTGGCGGCGGTCTTCCAAGCTGTGGCGGCCTGCCGACGACTCTAGGTATCGGCTGACCATGCCGAGTCCGACTCGCCAGAGGTCGACTCGCCGCGAAAACGCGCGCTGCCGTCGCCGGAACTCACCTAGCTACTTGTGCAGACGAGTGGTGGAACACGAATGTACGGCTGCTTGCAATGGTGCAGAATTTATACGCCAATATAGCGGGAGGTGGAGAGAGCGCGATCGTGGCGCCCTGCCCGTGCGGGGGGCGGAGCCTGCACGCGTGGCGTTGCGCTTGCACCAATGCACGTGCGCAACGCGAAGCGGAGCGTCGGCCGCGTTAAGGTCGGTTTGCATGCAGGCCGCACGGTCCGACCGACCGTAACGGTACCGCAGGTCGGCCGTCTGGCGCGCTGACACACAGCCGGGGGAGCAGCGGCCGCGCCGACTGACCGCCGGCCCCAGCCGCCGCTACCGCCTCGCCGGACGACAGCGGGAGCGGGGAGGACGTTGTCTCGTCTTCCACGACGATGCGTATCTGGCCTCTGGTGACTACATGGAAATGCGTTTATTGATTTGGTTAGTTTTATTAACATAGCTGTTTTCGAACCAGTTCTGGCTTGAAAAGAATGCCTCCAACTTTCACAGATATGAATACCTGTGGACGAAATAGAAAAAAGACCCGCTTGTTAAGCCAGTTTTAGCTTACAAAGCATGTTTCCACACATGCTCAAACGCCGCTAGGCGGACCGGTGGCCATTACCCACAGTACCGGCTGGCTGGTGATCGGTAGGGCCCATCAGATCGAGCCCAATAGGTGGACAGGGCCCACCGAATCGAGACCGACAGGTGGTCAGGGTCCATAAGATCGAGCCCAACAGGTGGTCAGGGCGCATCGGATGAAGTCGGCCAGTTAGTCGGGACAGATCGGATCGAGACCCAGAGTCCATCGGATGGAACCCGCCAAGTGGACAGAGCCCACAGAATCGAGCCCGACAGGTGTTCAGGGTCCATAATGTCGAGCCCAACAGGTGGTCGGGGCCCACCGAATCGAGCCCGACAGGTGGTCAGGGTCCATAATGTCGAGCCCGACAGGTGGTCAGGGTCCATAAGATCGAGCCCAGCAGGTGGTCAGGGCCCATCGGATCGAGTCCCACAGGTGGTCGAAGCCCATCAGGTCTAGACCTACAGGTGGTCAGGGCCCAATGAATCAAGAGCTCAAGACCCACTGCCCGGTATACACACAGGCTGACTGACTTGTGGACAGTCGGTGCAGCCAGTCCTGACTGTCTGTCAGTCAGACAGCCAGTCAGACAGTTAGGCATATTGGAAGTCAGGGAGTAAGGCAGGTAGGCAGTCGGGCAGTCAGGTAATGTATAGTCAGGCAGTTAGCCTTGATCTGATCAGCTAGCTGTTTGAGTTGCCCTTGACGGGCAACACAGGTCTCCTGCTTACGAGCAGTTTTGCTCACGTTGAAAATTTCGTGCCAGAAAACTGGAATACACCCAATCATCTTCATATGACATCCATATATGCCATGTACTTGTCATCAGTCTTAAAGCGGCCTCAATGCAAAAGGAAAAAAATGTGGTAGCAGTAACATGTCGATTACAAGCGTTAATACCTAAATAGAGTTAAGGCAGCCTCTAAGACCATCTTAATCTTTACATGTAGACCACAGGATGTACAAATGCATTGGTAACGTTGAAGCGGGGTACGCTACACGCACAACAAACCACAACAGGAAACGTGAACAGCAGAAGCAAGCCGCGCGATGCCTGTAGTTCACGCAACACCGCACAACATGGAGTGATAATCATGATGCTGAGTGGCATTATGGGGCGTGTCAGTTACCTAGGCCATTTTGCGCTCTCGCCACGTGTTACTCGCACAGTGAGTTTATGGTGCTGTTGAGGAGAGTGTACCGCATGAGGTCGAACGGTAGTTAAAAACAACGGAACATCACGTAGGCCAATCTCTGGATATTCACCTATCAGTGAGGTCAGAGCTACTTCGCGTCCAAGGAAATGTTGCATCTCAGCAACCAGAAGTGCACATTCAACCCATGTATGCCTGACATTGAGAGTCTCGCCGCACCTACCACAAGACAGGGCCTCTGTTGCGCTGCTCAGTCAGAATAAGCGGGTGCTGAAAGTGTTGCCAATAGCGTAGGCGAGTCACAAGGGCTTCTTCTTTCCTGGGTTCGTGAAGTGATGACCATGTATCTAGGACCTACCGATGTCCTAGCCTAGGTTCAATGGACTTAAGCTCGTTCTCGCTGCTCTCCTGACCACACCTTGTCAGCGTTTCTGTAGGTCACGTGGTTTGACTGACCCATGCTGGTCACTCGGAGGACCTGACCCGACCCGTTAGGCGGCAGCAGAGTGACTTCCCTCTGCAGCCTGGTCAGCCGACTCGTTTCCGGACAGACCGACGTGGACTGAGTATCCACACCAGCACTATCTGCTGGCCCCTCTAGCCACAGGACTAGTAAGCTCGCTTGCGACCAGCAGCGCCTAGACACGTGCCTGACGTCAGTGCATTCTGGATGCATGATACCGTGCTGAGCGAGTCAGTGAATGCTGTACACGACGGAGCGCCATGTCGTAAAATACAGTCTGGGCAGTTCAGGGTGTCGAGAAGCTCGGCGGTAAGAACGGAGGCCGATGGCGCTAACCCAATCCGGTTCAGACCGCCGCGGCGACACTGAATGCGTATCCGGTATCCAGCTACGTCCTGAATCCATCCGTGTAGCAACGTGCGGACCGTTTGTTCGTCCAACGCATGACCTTTTGAGATTTCCGTCTCAGCTCAGCAGCGCGCGTCGATCCCTCGGAAAACCTGGCGAGTGATGTGTCACAAGTGGCAGGTAAGGCTAATCACGACCTCCGCAAGTGGATGAGCGCTTGGCTGTGTTTAGGGCGCGTCTGCTCCAGCGTCGTAAAGCCATCCACTTGCACGCACACATAGCAGCCGTGTCTTCCCAGCCCTTTGCTAAGAAAAGATTATCATCAGATCTGCGGAGAAGATCATGCCGTGTACTGCGTGTGTGCGAAACCGGTATAATTCTTATCGCGTAACGCATGGCTAAATGGCTAAAGAGCGGCGCCTTAGTTCCATTGGTGTTTCCTCGGCGTCTGCCAGCAAGCGTGCTGTGGGTGACGTACAGACAATACCAGTGGTGATGCGAGCTCCGTGGTGATGGCTGCTGTCGAGTATCTCCTTACTGGATTTGCATGCCGAGTCGTGAACTGTGCATGTATAGAGAATTCGGATTTAATCAGTGAACGATACAGCATGGTTAAAGCTTTGCGATCTCCCCCATACGCCATACAGCGGAACCACCTTCTGGAACGGTCTAGGGCTTAAACACACCAAGTACACAGATGCTTCAAATGATTCTACGGAGGCCGGACGACGATCAAAAGCCAAACTTTCAAAACGCAAAAGCGGCAACCAACGAGATAATGCATTCATATAGATCAACCTGTGTGCCTGAATTCAGTTTACATCCTGTTGCAGAAGTGCCTCAACACCGTCTTGCCATTATGTTTAAAAGCCGTTGAGGATACTCTATTTGATAATTTCACCCATACGCAGCTGAACTTGATGCTCTGCCGATGCCGTGGTGGGTACCATGGCAAAAATGGAAAGAATCGTCCACAAACAACGAATGTTTCTACGTACGCAGGCACAGTAAGGTCATAATGGCAGTTGGCTAAAAAAATCAGCCCAGATGCC